TTACACAGCTCTGCAGAAGTTCCCGAATTTGACCTGGTTTCAGCACCTTGCAGTCCCCTGTGCAGCAGAGTTCAAATTGAGAGAGGAAGGAGCAGCACAAGGAGCAATTCAGGTAAGCTGCAGTGTTCAGCAGAAACATGCTAACAGAAAAGAGCAAAGTGACAGAGAGATGAGCTCATCAGACTGCGGCTTATCCTTTCACTGTCCAATCACAGGCTGGTGGACAAGATCTGCAAATGTTTGCCTGGAGTTCAGCTTTAATTACATAATGTAAAAGGTTTTCCAGCATAGCAAGCACAGGTACAAGTACAAAAGATTTGTGGCCAAGATTTCCTCCCTGGGACCGGCAAAAACACTGTTTATGGGGGACTTTAATACAACGTTGGCCCCAGTCCTGGATAGGCCTGGAACTGCTGGTTCTGGCCTCTCCGACTTGGGTGATTGGGCGCGCACTGCTGGTCTGACGGAGGTGTGGAGATGGAGGAACCCCACAACTAGGGCTTACTCTCGTTTCTCCGCCTCTTACAGAACTGCATCCCGTATAGACTTAGCATTTGCCGGGGGCGCCCTCCTGCCTGATATTGGAGAGGTCAGATACCTGCCGGGGGGTATCTCCGATCACTCGTCCATGTGGCTCACTCTCCGTTCTGGCCAGGGCAGAGACCGGGCCCTTTGGCGACTGGCCCCCCAATGGATCTCTCACCCTCTGGCTCTGGAGGCTATTCCACCATCCATTGAACAGTACTGGGACCTGAACGCCTCCACTGCTGGGGCTGAAATGGTATGGGATGCATTTAAGGCCTATGTCAGGGGAGACGTTATGTCCTTACAGAAGGCAATTAAGACCCAGGACTCTGCCCGTACAGTGGAACTCCAAATGGAGGAGGCAAGGTGTGTTTCGAGTTATGAGTCCTCGCACACCCCTGATAATTTCGACGCCTTGATGTCGGCGAGGCGCACGCTCCGCTTGCATCTGGCGGACCTAACACGAACTGATGTGCGTAGCCATAAACAAAATTACTTTGAAAATGGGGATAAAAATGGGAGACTGCTGGCTATGCTGTCACAGATGTCCCGGCCTCAGACGGTGGTTGCGGAACTGCGGTCTGGCCCGGACGCCTCTGTTACTTCCCCGGCAGATATCCTCGAGGGGTTTCGGAGTTACTACACCACCCTCTATTCCTCCTCACTACCGACGGACGCCCAGCCCCAGGGCCTACGGCCCTTGTTTGACTCCGTTGCCCTTGGTTGGTTGTCTTAACAGCCAACGGGATTTTTTGGTAAGACCCATAACTGAACCTGAGGTACTGGCCGCCATACACTCCTTCCCCAACGGGAAAACACCAGGCCCTGACGGCATCCCTATCGAATTTTACAAAACACATGCAGAATTAGTGGGCCCTAGACTATGCGAGATGTATACCTCGTGTTTAGCGAAAGACTGTCTGCCGCCATCCATGTCGGGGGCTCATGTAATAGTGATCCACAAACCACCTCGGGATCCGACCTCATGTGCCTCTTATAGGCCCATTGCCCTACTTAATAGTGACTTCAAAATTCTGACTAAGCTTTTAAGTGTAAGGCTTACCCAGCTGACGGACAGTTTGATAGACTCGGACCAAACTGGCTTTATGCCACGTAGATCCACGGACATTAATTTGCGCCGCCTATTTACAAACTTACATACGTCCCATCTCAACGCAGGAATGAGGGTGGTGGTCTCTCTCGATATAGAAAAGGCCTTTGATACGGTGGAGTGGTCCTACCCGTGGGCGGTGTTGGACAAAATGGGGTTCCCCCTAGAATTTACAAGATGGATTAAATTGCTCTATCACGATCCTATGGCTTCCATCAAACTAGGGAATAAATTGTCAGCTCCCTTTCCTATCCGCAGAGGTACACGGCAGGGCTGTCCGCTCTCGCCCACTCTCTTCGCCCTGGCCATGGAACCCATAGCCGAAGCTCTGAGAACATCCCCCTATATTAGGGGGCTTAGAGTTGGCTGGGTGGAGGAGAGAGTGGCGCTATATGCGGACGACCTGCTCCTATTCCTGAATGACCCGGGGCCTTCTTTGCAGGGGGCCTCGGATGTTCTTAATACCTTTGCGGGAGTGTCGGGACTGAGAGTCAATTGGGACAAATCCATAGTGTTCCCTATAGACGCTGCAGCTAGGTCTAATCCCAGAACGGTTACTCAACTTTCCTGGGTTGAATCCTTTAAATACCTGGGAGTGGTGATATCTGGCTCTTCCCAGGATTTCCTGACGCTGAACTTGCTCCCGATTTTGGGTGACATGAAGCAGAGACTGAAGGCATGGGCGAACTTACCTCTGTCCCTATTAGGCAGGATTAATTTGGTAAAGATGAAACTTTTGCCCAAATTAACATACATTTTTCGTAATAGTCCCATATGGATCCCAAAAACGTATTTTCATCAGCTGAACCAACTAGTATCATCCTTCTTGTGGGGCACCAAACCTCCGAGGTATAAACTAACGACCCTAATGCGCCCCACTCTTCAGGGTGGACTAGCATTACCGGACTTCTATAAATATTTCCTAGCAACCCAAATGGTCACGGCCCATTGGTGGCTCTCAGCTGATGTCACCAATTCCTCGGTAATGTTGGAAGCTGCAGTCCTGAACTCAGCGGAGGCACTGACTGGCCTGCTGTACAGGGGGCAAAAAGCCTCCTATCCTCTTACTCCTTCCATGCGCACGACCATCAAAGTATGGCGCACGGGTAACTCCTGGTGCTCCGGGAAGGCCCTGGAAATTTCCCCGAACACCCCTTTGTGGAAAAACCCCAATCTGCCCCATTTCCACACGGTCCCTGATCCCGCCTTTTGGGCAAAACATGGTGTGAAACGGATCTCGTACATTGTGGAGTCCACTTCCCTGATCTCATTTGAAGCACTAACCGCACGGAGGGCTATCCCCCCCCAAGTGTTTTTTTCGCTATTTTCAACTCGCCCATGCCTTCAGTGCTCAATTTCCAGGAGATGGGATTCGCCTGGGAGAGTCTCGACTGGAGTCCCTGGCTGGGACGGAGAGACTGAGGAAGCCCGCCTCATGTTTCTATAATACCCTGCAAACCATGACTTCCTCTGGCCTGCTCACATTACAGACTAAGTGGAGGGTGGACGTCCTAGACATGGATGAGGAGGACTGGGAGGAGGTATGGGATGCACCCTTTAAACAACTGGTTGCCATAAAGGATAGAATGGTGCAATTTAAGATATTGCACAGAGCCTACTTTACACGTCACAGATTACACAAAATGAATGCGGCCATCTCCCCGTCCTGCTGGAGATGCACGTGTGATGAAGGTGGGTTTTTTCATGTGTTTTGGGAATGCCCCCTCATCAAGCTCTACTGGGGCTCCACGGTTGACTTTATCTCAAGGGTCACTTCATTGCCACTCACACCATCACCGAGACTGTGCATACTGGGCCTGGTGGAGGATGTAGCTCCGACCAGGTCGGAACGCACATTGGTGGGCCTCACCTTGTTCTATGCACGCAAGGCTATTGCTATGTACTGGAAAAAAACCGGTCCCGCCAGAGCTGTCCTTATGGAAAAAATTGGTGAATGATAACCTACCTCTTACATAGTTACATAGTATTTGAGGTTGAATAAAGACATTAGTCCATCAAGTCCAGGATACGTATGCTAACAGGGGTTGCCCGGGGAAATTTCATAAAATCTGGGATAGCTGGTTGGAATGCACTAATTCGGCAGCTGACATAGATGCCCGCTCCAGAGGAGGAATTAATGACCAGGTTGGAAGGCTCCGGATAGATCTAGACAGAGTCCGACCTGTGGGACAAGTCGAGATAGGCGCTCCATGCTTCGGATCACATTTCCAACGACCTCCTATCCAGGCCAGGCCTTCTGGCGGTTATGTGGAGGGGCTGGGAGAAGACCTAGTAAGGCCCATTGACTAATAATTCCCCCACCTGAAATGTAGGACCGGAACTGTTTTTGTTTCGTTTGATTTTTCTTATTTTGCTCTTTGTTTTCTTCCTTATTCTCTTTTCCAAGGCTTTTGATGCCATAATGTTATGTTGACTGCACTGCTATGCATGGTGCCACTGATGTAAGGCACAAATAGCGTGCACTGTTGTGATGTATGTATCAAAAAACAATAAAGTGTTTTGCTAAAAAGATAAGGATTCTCTTTACCCTTCTACACACACACAGTATGTTTACATACCGCATTCTCCGGGTGGAAGATGTAGGATGCTGGCGAGTTGTCCACTATGATGACCTTGCTCAGATCTCTTCCTAGACGACTCAGATCTTTCACATAATTTCCTCTGTGGAACACGCAGGATTCTCGAAAGAGTCGCGCCGTAAACACGCCCCATCGATCCAGCAAGTCGGCCACGGGGTCGGCATACTTTAAACAGAATTATGATAGAAGACAATTAACAAAAAGCAAAGTAATACTCTGTGTCTGCAAGACTCATGGTCACTAGGAGCAAGTACACCTGTCATTTTGTAGCAAACAATTTGATAGACAAAGGAAATAAAGACACTGACCACTCTTGTATGTGGACATGTTGGTGGTCAGTCCAGCAAGATTGGTTTTGGGAATTTAAACAGACACCATCAAGGCAGAGTGGCACTACGCTCTGAAAGTCATCGCCCCTGCAAGGTATACTCGCTGGTCCATGCATCCTTGTTGCCCTCCTACTCCACCAGAGCCCATGACTCCTTTGCCAATTGCCAGATCTAAACACTTGGAACATGGCGGCGACATCATCCACCAGGATGAGCTCAAACACCATCCAACGCAGACATTGTAGCTCACTAAGGGTGGACGAGGAAGAGTAGATGGGTGAGTAGGAGTAGACCTTGGTGGTAGAAGAGAGGGGCGGCTGCTATCAGGAGGTATTGTTCCTTAGCCCTGACTGGTTGAGGACATCATCTCTAAAGTTCAGCTACATTCTCCATACTCTACAGAAAAGAGAATGGTCTACCGTTGTGTCTAACATCTAAACTACAAGCGCTGCCATAGCAACAAACAACATGGCGGTACTCGGTACTAGAAGAAGCCTTTCACAAGCCAAAAAAATACACTAAAAGCTTCAATGCTGAAAGACCCCAAGCGCAATGCCTACCTCATCCTCTACTCCACAGCAAAAAGTGCCAGCCAGTGCCAGCACCAGCCACGACTAGATTACTGCCGGAATCTGACTCTTCATGCACCTTCGGTGTCAAAGCCGAGAACTTGAGATTCGGCATGTCAGCTTACAATCACAGATTCACTTTAAAGGGAATGCTCGGTATTACAAATCCTGTATTTGTCTACGCACAGCTTCTACGAATCAATCCTCTGTTAGATATTGCAGAGTATAGCACTCCTATCAAATATATTATTCACCCAAAAAAATCATTATGGGGGGGGGGGTTTTTTGTGAGGCTGGGACAGCAACTTGAG